GGGTATACTACTACTTTAGAATTGTGTAACGTTAAAGAAAAAAAAAAAAGTGTAAAAATCTTATGTTTAAAAAGAGAGACATTACGTAAATGGTGTATACTTTAACGAGAGGAGGCAAAGCTGCATGCAACAGCTCGAAATTCTGTATTGACTTTTTTTTTCCCAGTATTAGAGGTGCAATACTTGCTAGAAAAATTCACGGTGCTCTCCCTCCTCTGCTCGGCTCCTTCCAAACAGCTTGCTGGCTCACCCAAAAAAAGAGCAAGAAACAGCCTAAATCCTTTCTCGAGGTGGCCTTTTCCTACTTCACCACCACGCTCCAAAGCAGTTTTAGCTGTGAATGCTTCAGCCAAAGCTTTTGGTGAAAGCTGTGGCCCTGTTTGCATTGGCACCTGCCCAAAAGTGAGCGTGTCCACAAAGCTGCACCCCAGGCCTTGGAGCCCCCGCTGTACTCTGTAAAGAGTTGTTAAATTCAGTACTGACCTGAATGTATGGCTTTATTTCGAGGGTTTTAGGGGCGATGTCAGCTGAACTGTGTTGTAGGTCTCGCGTGTGGTTTGTCTCCTTTTACACTGTTAAATGTCAGGGACCCGCGGGCCCGCGCTGCCGCAGGCTGAGGGTGCACCTTGGTGGACACACCGAGGGGAGGGAGTTGACCACTGAAACACCCCCAAATTGCTCTTCAACAACAACAACAATGAAAAAAAACACCAACTCTTGATTACAAACAACCTCAATTTCTCAGCCAAGTATTGCACTGATGATACCCAGTAATAACACCAGGGCACCGACAGCAAAGCGGTGCCTCAAACCACACCAAGGTTGCTTTATATGTAAAGAAAATTTGAGCGAGCTGCCCTGAAGAAAGGCCTAGTGCCGAGATGAGAGAGAGACAGAGAGATGTTTGGAGATGTTTAGCCAGTGCCCTTCTCCCCTGTGAGCCGCAGAGGCTCAGAGCGGTGCTGGCTTTGTAAAGGGAAAGGCCTTCATTTCTTCGTTTATCCCCCCAGCAGCGCTGGAGAGCGAGGTGGCTTCAATAAGCCTGGTGGTAAGTTTTTGAGCATTACAATGGATAGTGTTAAAAAAAAAAAAAAAAAAAAAAAAATTGCAGTCAGTTTTTTTTTTTAGCACGAAGTGTAATTTTTTATTCGTTTAAGTGGTTTAAAAATGACAATATGCAACCAGACTGTAATGGGTACTGCCGGCGATGCCCAGGGGTATGCGGACACAGTGGAAGAGTTGAGCAACCACTCCTGTAATTTTGGGGAAAAGAAATGGTTTGGATGTAATAAATCCTTTTCTTTTTTTTTTATAGTATATATAGATATATTAAGTAACTTTTATTAATGAACTTAAAAACTGATTGGCACGGTAAAACCTTTTAAAAAATCAGCGTTAATAGTGGTTAACAGATTGAAACCTGCTAAAAAAAATCAGTGTAATAGTGGTTAACGGTTTGAAAGCTGCTAAAAAAATCAGTGTAATAGTGGTTATTGGTTGGAAAAAAATGCTTAAAACCAGTGTAATAGTGGTTTTTGGTTGGCAGAAGTGCTAAAAGAGCCACCTGATGGCCCAGTAAGGTGCAGTGCTGCTGCTTGTGCGGCGCAGGTCGTAGCTAGTGTTGTGTGTGTCGGTTCTCCAGCCCGCAGGGCCCGCACTAACACCCTTCCCTATGCTTCTCTCCCGCCTGGCAGGACACATGGAGGAAGGACCCGACCTGGATTTAGGTAATTCCCACCAAACTCCCTCCCGAGGTTGTGGATCAGACATTTCTGTCCTCGTTCCGAGGGCTGCGGCCACTTCCAGCCTTTCTGGCCGTTCCCATCAATTCTTCATTCCCAAACAGCTGGAAAGCCACCACACGTGGTTGGGAGATGCTCCCCCTTCTCTGCAGGAATTAGGGGGGTTGGGGGCTGCTCTGGAGCTCTTCCAGGGAGCCTGCAGCACCCCCAGAGCTTCATCCGTGGCTTGTCCCTTCCTGTCACACAGGCGTGTCTGGAAGTTCTGCGTCAGCTTTCCAGCGTCGGAAAAGGGGGGTGGATGTCCTTGTGTGGGAGCCCAGGGGGCACGGAGGTCTTCCTCGTCTCTCCTGTGGGATGTGACCTGAAATAACCTGGGGGTTCTTCCCACGTGGGTGGGTGTGGGCTCTGTCTGGCCGTGGCACTCGGGAGGTGAAGGGGAGGACAGTCCCCTCCCTTGGGCCCGGGGTTTCCTGTCACTGCCAGAGAGCGAAGCTGCAGCCGGCAGGGATGAGGGGATGGAAAGAACTCGGCCCTGGGATATCCCTGCCCTTCCTGTGCCCGCACTGACCCCGGAATTGTCTCCTAGGCCCCCCTATGGACTCGGAGGAGGACTCGGACAGCACTGCAGTCTATGTGCAGGGACTCAGTGATAATGTGACCCTGGAGGATCTGGCAGATTTCTTCAAACAGTGCGGTGTTGTCAAGGTGAGGGGACACCATTGACCCCCCACTGGCAGAGGGAAAAGGATCACCCAGCTCCTCCTCTTTCTCCTCCTCCCTGCCCACTGCTCACATCCCTCTGGCCCCTCATGCCCAGGCTCTGGGAGAGGCCTGGCAGTGCTGTTCTAGGGCCTGTCCCTTCATTTTTGGGGTGTCTGGGCAGTTGCTGTCATCCATGGTAGCCCTGGGGCCCCTTTCTTCTGTCCTGGAGTCCCTGGAATGAGCTCCTGTGGAAAGCAGAACGGAGTGAATCCCTGCTGGGCTGTGGGGACACAGAGCTGGGGTGACATTCCACTGTCCCTTAGGTGAACAAGAGGACGGGGCAGCCCATGATAAACCTCTACATCGACAAGGAAACGGGCAAGCCCAAGGGCGATGCCACCGTGTCCTACGATGACCCGTCCACTGCCAAAACAGCCGTGGAATGGTTTGATGGTGAGTGTTTTGGGGTGGAATTCCAAAAATTCCAAGTGTGGGAAGCATCTGGGTGCAGGTGTGTGAAGCAGGGCCGTGACTCACCGATGCCATTGTGTCCCTCCCAGGGAAGGATTTCCAGGGCAGCAAGCTGAAGGTGACGCTGGCACGGAAGAAGGGCCCGATGAACAGCCTGAGGGGCGGGATGCTGCCCCGGGAGCAGCGGGGAATGCCCCCACCCCTCCGTGGAGGTACCGTGCAGCCCCCCCAGAGCTGCTGTGCCGACCTTGCCGTGGCTCCCGGCACTAACGGGGCTCCTTCCCGCAGGACCGGGGGGACCCGGCGGCCCAGGCGGCCCCAGCGGGCCCAGCGGCCCCATGGGCCGGATGGGGGGAAGAGGAGGAGGAGACAGGGGTGGCTTCTCCTCGAGAGGACCGCGGGGATCCCGGGGAAACCCGTCCGGAGGGAGCGTCCAGCACCGCGCCGGAGACTGGCAGTGCCCCAACCCGTGAGTACCCACCCCAAGGGCTGTGCCAACGGGGCGTCGGGCATCCCAGCAGCTGGCCAGGGCAGCGAGGCCTTTCCCAAAATGACTGGCTGGGCCTTCCCAGGAAGCAGCTTCCACCTGGCACAGAGGGAGGGGTGTCACTCCTGGGGGCTGTGGGGGAACCACAGCTCCTGCGGGCAGCCAGACCCCCACCCCGCTGCAGCTGTGCCCCAGGTCCTGCCCTTGTGTCCCCTCTCACGTGCTCCCACTCGTGCTTCCCAATGTCACCCCAGCTGGAATGCTGTCCCACGCTGGGCTAACTGGAATTTGTACCCAGGGGCTGTGGAAACCAGAACTTTGCCTGGAGAACAGAGTGCAACCAGTGCAAGGCGCCCAAACCGGAGGGGTTCCTCCCACCCCCCTTCCCTCCTCCAGGTACGTTTGGGGGGTTCACAGCCCCACTTCCCAGCGGGACACCCCAAACCTGGCCTCGGGCTCCTTGGGGAATGGCTGGGCCAGCTCCAGGAGCTGCCAGGCCTTCACTCCCCGTGAGCCATGAGACCGGGATTTCTCCTGTGCTTCCTGGATTTGGGGGGCTGTCAGCAGCACCCCGAATCCCCTCGGGTACCAGCAGCTCCTGGCCTTTGTCCTGCTGCTGCTGCCCGAGCTGGGTGTGCTGGGATGGAGGGTGGGGGACAGGCAGCGGCTGTGCTCCCGTGGGTCACTCCCGTGGGTCACTCCCGCGGGTCACTCCCGTGGGTCACTCCCGGCTCTCTGCTGCTCCGCAGGCGGTGACCGCGGCCGGGGCGGCCCCGGGGGGATGCGAGGCGGGCGCGGCGGGGGCCTGATGGACCGAGGCGGGCCCGGAGGGATGTTCCGAGGCGGCCGCGGCGGAGACCGAGGGGGATTCCGAGGCGGCCGGGGCATGGACCGGGGCGGCTACGGAGGAGGCGGCCGGAGAGGAGGAGGAGGAGGCGGCCCCGGGGGACCACCCGGACCCCTGATGGAGCAGATGGGAGGAGGAGGAGGCAGAGGACGACGCGGAGGGCCGGGAAAGATGGACAAGTATGGATGGAGGGCAGGGCTGAGAGTGATGGGAGGGGGCACTGGGGAGGGGGAGACCCTGATGGGGACAAGGTGGGGGGCGGCTGGGGTGGGATAGATGGGTGGAGGGGCGAGGGGGTGGGATGGGGAGTGGATGGGATGGGTGGCAGGGGGTCTGGGTAGGGGGTTAACCCAGGAAGGGCTCCTGGACCCCACAACTGACCCCTGTCCCCCCGGCCCACAGGGGTGAACACCGCCAGGATCGCCGAGACCGGCCCTACTAACGCCGCCCCTCCCAGAGCCGCATTTACTACCAGATTTATTTTTTAAACCAGAAAAAAAATGTTTTAAATTTATAATTCCATATTTATAATGTTGGCCACAACATTATGAGTCCTCCTTGTCTGTACTTTAGTATTTTTCACCGTTTGTGGAGAAACATTAAAACCAAGTTCAACGGTAGCGTGATGACTTCTTTCTTCCCCCCTCCCCCGAAATAAAACCGGTTGTTTAACGCGCCCCCGCCCCGCCTCCCCGCCTGTAACGCTGTGAACGGTTGTGACGGTTGTTTTTTAAATAAAATTCCCGCTGTTTGTAACCGCACCATTGCTGGCCTTTCTTGAGAGCACCCCCGGGAGCCCGGGGGGCGCGACCCCCGGGCCCGGGCCGGGGTAGGATGGGATGGAGGGGCGGGACGGAGCTGCCCGGTGCATCCCGCCGTGCCTCAGTTTCCCCAGAGGATATGAGCTCCGGGGAAGGGAGGGTGGGGGGAGGAGGGGGCAGATCAATGGGAGCGGGGAGCCACACCCGGGCGGGGGTGGGGGGATGTCACCGAGTGTCGCTGTGTGTCACCCCCTGTCCGTGCCCCCGGCCGTGTCTGTGCCCCGCTCCGGGCCATGCCCCCGTGTCCGTGTCCGTGCCCGTGCCCGTGCCCGTGCCCGTGTCCGTGTCCGTGTCCGTGTCCGTGTCCGTGTCCGTGTCCCCCCCGCGCCCGTCCCCGCCCGCCGCCGCCGCCGCCCCCGTCCCGGCCCTTTCTGGGCCGCCTCCAACTTCCCGGCCGGGGCGCGGCGGCGGCGGCGGCGGCGGCTCCGCGGGGCTGCGGCGGCCGAGCCTCGCTGGGCGCCCCCCGAGCCCCCCGGGCCGCCCCCCGGGCCGCTGCCCGCGGCCGATGGCGGCGGGGGCCGCGGCGGGGCCCTCCCGGCGCTGGGAGCCGCGGCCCGGCCCGCCGCGGGGAGCGGGCCCGGCCCGGCCGTAGCGCGGCGCGGAGCGGCGGCGGTGAGTGCGGCGGGGGCGGCGGGTGGCCCTGGGTCCCCCCGTGTCCCCGCAGCTGCCGGTCCCCGATCCCCTCCGCCGCCCCCGCTGGATCGCCCCGCAATAGGGACCCCCCCCCCACCCCGAGACACCCCCAGGGATGGACAGCCGCCCCCCCCCCCCCCCCAGGGCACAGGGGGACCCCGATAGCGACACCCCTGAGCACGGACACCCCCTCCGAGGGTAGGGACCCCCCCCGGCAGAGACGACACCCCCCGAGGGAAGGGCACCCCGCGACAGGGACACCCCCTCCCCGGGGAAAGGGACACCCCCCAACAGGATCCCCCGCTCCCGAGGGATGGAGACCACCCCCCAGCAGAGTGCCCCCATCCCCGAGGGTAGCAGTGCCACCCCCCAACAGGATCCCCCGCTCCCGAGGGATGGAGACCACCCCCCAGCAGAGTCCCCCCATCCCCGAGGGTAGCAGTGCCACCCCCCCAGGTGAGGGGACCCCCTCCGAGGGTGGGGGACACCCCCTCAGCAGCAGGGACACCCCAGGGGCAGGATCCCCCTCCCAGGGTGGGGGGCTGGGCTGGGGGTGGCAGTGGAGGTCACAGGGTCCCCCATGAAGGGGTGACCCCTCTGCTGAGCCATTGCTGGCTCCTGTACCCCCACCCCAGGTCAGGGATGGCCGGGGGGCCTCCCCCAGGTGCAGCCCCCACCCCATGGCTGAGTGCTGGGGACCCCAATCCCCTCACCCCATGGCTGAACCCCCCCAGGGTAAAGGGGGGCTCGCTGCCCCCGGCACTGCCATCCCTCGGGGTGCCACCTGCTCCCGGGGTGGGGACACTGGGGTGAGGACAGCGCCATGACTGGGCAGCTTTTAGGGCGGGGTTTTTTTGGGGAGGGATGTCCCCTCTCTGCCACAGCCCCACCGAGGGGTGGGCGTGGGTGACAAGGGACTCTAACCTGGGGGCGGAGGGGTCACAGGATGAGGGGGGACGTTGTGGGGGATGTGGAGAATGGGGACACGCATGGCGGAGGGCCGTGAGGTGAGGGGACGTGGGCTGTGGGGGGGACATGCGGGGTGGAGGGACGGGGATTAGGGGTGCTGCAGGTCCCGGCAGGGATCAGGCAGGTCCCGGAGGGGTGGCGGTGGCAGTGGGTCACCACTCCATGGGTAATATGTGAGGGAGAGCGAGGCACAGAGAGGTCAGCGAGGTTGGTGGGTGGTTTGGGGGGGCTTTGGGGGGTTTCCTGCCCGTTACAGCCCCCCTTGTCCCCCGCAGGCAGCTTGCCATGGCCGACCCCAGCCACATCCAGTCGGCCGCCTCCAAGAGCATCCGTCCCTTCCGCTCCAGCGAGGAGTACCTGGAGGCCATGAAGGAGGACCTGGCCGAGTGGTTCAACACCCTCTACGACCTGGACATCCAGGTGGACACCTTCCTGGAGAGCCTGGAGACGGGCTGTCACCTCTGCCGCCACGCCAACAACGTCAACCGCACCGCCCTGGACTTCCAGGAGCGGCACCCCGAGGCGGCCGCCCGCATGCGAGTGCCCCAGAACGAGGTGGTCTTCCAGGCCAAGAACGTGGTGCCCGGCTCCTTCATCGCCCGGGATAACGTCTCCAACTTCATCCAGTGGTGCCGGCAGGACCTGGGCATCCAGGACGTGCTGATGTTCGAGACCAACGACTTGGTGCTGAAAAAGAACGAGAAGAACTTTGTCCTCTGCCTGCTGGAGGTGGCCAGGAGGGGCTCCAAGTTTGGGATGCTGGCGCCCATGCTGATCCAAATGGAGGAGGAGATCGAGGAGGAGATGAGGGACCAAATGGCCGACGGCGCGCTGGGCACGCGCCGGGAGAGCCGGGACCCCCAGGCGGGCGCCTACCCCGGCCGGGCCCGGCCCATCACCCTGGGCGACCTCAAGAACCTGGACGAGCTGGTGAGACACGCGCTCCCCTGGGAGCCCTGTGCCTGGGTGAGGGCCTGGCCGGCCACCCAGCGCGCCGGGCCACCGCCGGGGCTCGCTGACACCCAGCGGGGTCCCTCTGTCTCCTGGGAGGGCCTGACTGGCCACCCTGTGGTCACTCTGTGGTCACTAGGAGCTCCCACCTGTCTATGGCCTGGGAGAGAACCTCTCTGTCCGCCCAGTGGTCATTCTGTGGTCATTAGGAGGTCCCACCCAGTGTCTCTGCCCACCCACCGAGGTCCATGGGGGTTCCCACCCATCTCTGTGGCCCCTGGGAGGTCCTGTCTGTGTCCCCCCCCCACCTGGCCACCCAGCAGGGCACTCTGTGGTCCAGGGCAGGTCCCGCGTGTCTCTGCGACCCCTGCGAGGTCGTTCTGCCCAGCCCTGTGGTCCATAGGATGTGCTCCACCCACCCATCCCAGCTCTCCATGGCTACCGGAGCTCCTCTCCACCCACCCAGGCTCCCGTGGAGCCTCCTGGCTCCATGGGGAGGTTATTTCGGTGGCTGTGACCACAATCACAGCGGGGACACAGGTGTCACCTGCGCCCTGACACCTGCTCCCCGAGAGGGGGTGACCCACAGGGGTCCCCACCCCAGGACTCCCCTCCCCTCCTCGGGGCTGCTGTCCCCAGGGATGGACAAGGGGACATCCCGGCTGCTCACAGCCACAATTTGGGGTGTCAGAGGGGGGTGCAGGGACCCCCCCGGGCCGGGAGCTCAGGGCGGATTAAAGCCGGGTGCGGGATCCGTCCCGCGGGTGAGGCAGCGGATTAATCCGGGACGGGGGGGACACGGCGGGGACAGGGGGGCTCTGCCCTCCCCTGACTCCCTAAGCCTTTTTTTAATTGAAACCCCAATTCCTCATTAAGTCCATCATTAAAAAGCATCCTGACCCCCCTCCCCTCCGCCCAGGGCCGCTTCAGGGGGGTCCCCCGTGGCTGTTGCCCCCCCAAGCCCCCCTGGCCGGGCGCTGCATTTTTCCGCTGCGTAATTCCTCCCAATCCATCGGCTTTTATGGGCAGCGCCAGCGGCGGGGAGGAGCCTGGCGGAGCAGGATCCAGCCCCCCTCATCCCCAGGTGCCACCCCAGGGTGGCAGCAGGGTCACGACCCCCCCCCCTCACTGCAGCCCACCCCCACTCCGTGCCTCAGTTTCCCCAGCTGGGGCTGTCCGTGTCACCCGGATGGGAACCGGAGCGACCACATCCTTCCTTCCTCTCAGCGCTGTGATGGGCACAGCTGCAGGAAACCCCCCAAAAATCACGGAGTTATTAAAGAAACCCCAAATTTCGGGGTGAGGTCGTCCCCCCCATCCACCCCCCAGCCCGGGCCGGGGCAGGATGCGGCCGCGTCCCCGCGTCCCCCCGTGGCTCCCGGTTTAATCCCTGACGTCAGGCCGGGGATAGAACCGGCAGCTGGCAGCCAGCGGCACCGCCCGGCCACCCCACAGCCTGGGGGTCCCCTGCCCGGCCCCCCAAACCCTCCCCCTTCCCGTTCAGAGGGAGGCCAAAACCCCCGGGATTTACCCCATTTCTCTGGATGGATGTAGGTCCTGCCCCATGGTGGGATTTGGGGGGGGATCCCCCGTGGTTCAGATGTTTTGTGCCCACAGACGGGGGTCCCGGAGTGGGTGGACCCCAAATAAATCCCGTCCTCAGCCTGCCGGGGGTGCCCAGCAGTGGGAGGAGACCCCGGCCCCACTGCTCCGCATGGAGGGGGAGAGCTGCCAGCATGGGGGGCACACAGGGCCCCTCTGTGTGTGCCAGTCTGAGGGGCTGCCCCTGGAATGGGGATCACACTGACCCTAAGGGGTGCCCCACCGGTCCTATAGTGGAGGGTCCATGACCCACCAGCCCTATAACGGGGTTTTGTGCCCCACTGACCCTATAGCAGGGGTTTCTGTGCCCACCAGCCCTATAACAGGGGTTTGTGCCCCACTGACCCTATAGCAGGGTTTCTGTGCCCACCAGCCCTATAATGGGGTTTTGTGCCCCACTGACCCTATAGCAGGGGTTTCTGTGCCCACCAGCCCTATAACAGGGTTTTGTGCCCCACTGACCCTATAGCAGGGGTTTCTGTGCCCACCAGCCCTATAACGGGATTTTGTGCCCCACTGACCCTATAGCAGGGGTTTCTGTGCCCACCAGCCCTATAGTGGAGGGTCCATGCCTCACCAACAGGGTTTATGCTCACTGACCCTATAATGGGGCATCTGTGCCCACCTGCCCTATAATGGCAGGTCTGTACCCCACTGACCCTATAGTGGGGGTTCTGTGCCCACCAGCCCTATAACTGGGGGCCCCACTGGCCCTATAGCAGGGGTTCTGTGACCACTAGCCCTATAACTGGGGGCCCCACTGGCCCTATAGCAGGGGGTCTGATCCTATACCAGGGGGTCTGTGCCCCACTGACTCTATAGGGGGGTTCTATGCCCACCGGCCCTATAGTGGGGGGTCTATGCCCTGCTGGCCCTGTAATTGGGGGGGTCTGTGCCCCAGCAGCTCTGAATGGGGGGTCGATGCCCCACCGGCCCTATAGGCGAGTTCTGGACCCCCCTGACCCTCTAGCAGGGACCCCCGCCCCACTGAGCGCTGCCCCCTGTGCCAGCAGGTGCGGGAGATCCTGGGCTGCTGCTCCTGCCCCTCGCAGTTCCCCATGGTCAAGGTCTCGGAAGGGAAGTACAAAGTGGGCGACTCCAACACGCTCATCTTCGTCCGGGTAAGAGCCGCAACCCCCCCCTCACCCCACTGTCCCCCCATCGCACCGGGACCCCCAAACCTTCCTTGCCCCAGGGAAGGTGGGTGTGCCCCAGAGCTGCATCTCCTGCCCACGCCGGGGGTCCTGGGGTGGCTTTGGTGGCTTTTTGGGACCAGGGTGACAGCGCTGCCCGCAGGTGCTGCGGAGCCACGTCATGGTGCGCGTGGGCGGCGGCTGGGACACGCTGGAACATTACCTGGACAAGCACGACCCATGTCGCTGTGCTGCCCTCTGTGAGTGCCACCCCACGGCCAGTGCCCCGCCTCGGCACGTCCTGCTCCCGCCTTGCTGCAGCCTTCCAGTCCCTGGCGCTCCAGGGGTTCTGGTCCTGGATTCTCCTGGGGCCCCTTTCCCTGGTTCTCTGTGGGGCCCCTGTCTGGTTCTCTATGGGGTTTTCTTCCCCAGTTGTCTGTGAGGATCTGTTCCCAGATTCTCCCTGGGGCCCCTTTCCCTGTTCTCTGGGGGGTTCTGGTCCCTGGTTCTCCAAGGGTTCTCCTGGTTCTCCCTGGGGCCCCTTTCCCTGGATTCTCCCTGGGGCTCCTTTCTGGTTCTCTATGGGGTTTTGGACCCTCATCTTCTGTGGGGTTCCATTCCCTGGCTCTCCAAGGGTTCTTCTGTTCCCAGATTCTCCCTGGGGCCCCTTTCCCTGGTTCTCTGTGGGGTTTTGTTCCCTGGTTCTCCAAGGGTTCCGTTCCCAGATTCTCCCTGGGGCCCCTTTCCCTGGTTCTCTGTGGGGCCCCTTTCTGGTTCTCTATGGGGTTTTGTTCCCCGATTGTCTGTGAGGATCTGTTCCCAGATTCTCCCTGGGGCCCCTTTCCTTGGTTCTCCCTGGAGCCCCTTTCCCTGGTTCTCTATGGGGTTTTGGACCCTGATTTTCTGTGGGGTTCCATTCCCTGGTTCTCCTTGGGTTCCATTCCTGGATTCTCCCTGGGGCCCCTTTCCCTGTTCTCTGTGGGGTTTTGTTCCCTGATTTCCTGTGGGGTTCCATTCCCTGGCTCTCTGTAGGGTTCCAGTACCTGGTTGTCTATGGGATTTTGTTCCCTAATCTTCTGTGGGGTTCCATTCCCTGATTCTCCATGGGTTCCATTCCTGGATTCTCCCTGGGGCCCCTTTCCCTGGTTCTCTATGGGGTTCCATTCCCTGGCTCTCCTTGGGACACTGTTGCTGATTTTCCATGGGGTCCCATTCCCTGGTTCTCCACAGGGCTCTGTTCTGTAGGGCTCCATTCCCTGATTTTCTGTGGGGTTTTGTTCCCTGGTTCCCCATGGCTTCCATTCCCTGGTTCCCCATGGGGCTCCATCCTCTGCCTCTCTGTCAGGTTCCAGTCCCTGATTTTCCATGGCTTCCATTCCCTGATTTTCCATGGGTTCCCTTCCTTGGTTTTCCATGGCTTCCCTTCCCTGATTTTCCATGGCTTCCATTCCTTGGTTCCCCATGGGGCTCCATCCCCTGATTTCCCATGGCTTCCCTTCCTTGGTTTTCCATGGCTTCCCTTCCCTGATTTCCCATGGCTTCCATTCCCTGGTTCCCCATGGTTTCCCTTCCTTGGTTTTCCATGGCTTCCATTCCCTGATTTTCCATGGCTTCCCTTCCTTGGTTTTCCATGGCTTCCCTTCCTTGGTTTTCCATGGCTTCTAGTCCCTGGTTCCCCATAGCTTCCCTTCCTTGGTTTTCCATGGCTTCCATTCCCTGATTTCCCATGGCTTCCCTTCCTTGGTTTTCCATGGCTTCCAGTCCCTGATTTCCCATGGCTTCCCTTCCTTGGTTTTCCATGGCTTCCAGTCCCTAATTTTCCATGGCTTCCCTTCCCTGGTTCCCCATGGGTTCCCTTCCCTGGGGCTGGCTCCTCAGGGCACTGATCCAGCTGGAAGGGGGGAAAGGGGGGGGTTTTCCCCAAATTCCCGAGGCGTTCCCCACCTCCGGGAATAGCCCGGTTGGAAAACCGGGATGCCGGGAGGGGATGCCGAGCGCTGTCCCCGCTGACCTCCCGCTGTCCCTTGCAGCTCACCGCCTGCCCCAGCCCCGCGCCCCGGGCCTGTCCCCCCAAAAAGCAGCTCCCGGCACCTCCTCGTCCCGCGCCTCCAGCCCCAGCACCCCCCGGCGCCCCCGGCCCCCTCCAGCCGGGGTGGAACGGAGCCCCCAGCCCCGGGGGGACCCCCCGAAACCCCCCAAGCAGGAGGGCTTGCCCCCCCGAGGGGGAGCCCCCCTCCGCCCCGGCAGCCCCGCCAGGAGCCCCGCGGAGCCGCGGGGAGCGGGGACACTCAGGTACGGCCCCCCGGCGGTGGGGGGACCCCAAAACTGCGCCCAGGCCCCACGGCAAGGGCTCAGCCCCACGGAATGGGGGCGTTAATGGGGAAAACACTGGGGGGCCATGGGGGTGCAGGGAGGGGACTTTGGGGGCAGAGGGAGGTACTGGGGTGCAACTGGGCTGAATTGGGGAGCACTGGGGAGATCGTGGGGGGCAGTGGGGGGGAAATGGAATCATTGGGGCGGCAGTGGGGGGTGAAAGGAGCAAATGGGGGAATCATTGGGGCAGTGGGAGGTGAACTGGGGGTGCACTGGGGAAATCATGGGGGAAATGGGGTACAAGCAGTACTGAGGGGGCAGTGCAGGAGGCAGTGGGGGCGAATTTGGGGTGAAATGGGGGTGCAGTGGGAGAGAAGGGAGGAATTGGGATGCAGTTAGGGAAGGGGAAATGGAGGATGACAATGGGGGTTGGGTGTGGGGCCATGGGGGCTATGGGGACAGACAGTGGGGCACTGGGAGGTGGAATGGGGGCTATGGGGAGGGGGTAAATGGGGAAGGCATTGGGGATCAATGGAAGGGAATAGTGGGGGGCAGCAGGGGGAGGGAAGGGGGGCTGAAAGGGGGAATGGGGTGTGGGATTTTGTGGGGGTTCAATGGAGGGGAGCAATGGGGGGCAGTAGGGGTTCACTGGGGTGCAGTGGGAGAACAAGGGGGAATGGGGGGTGGAAGGACGGGGCAGTAGGGGAAATGGGGGTCCAGTGGGGTGTGAAATGGAGGGGGATGGGATTGGCAGTGGGAGAATGTGGGGTGCCATGGGGGAGTTCATGGCAGTGGGTGTGCAATAGGGGAAATGGGGTTCAATGGAGGGACTATGGGGTGCAGTGGGTGGGGGCTGAGGGGGGAGAATGAGGGTGGAATGGGAGGATTCAATGGGGGTTTAATGGAGGGGGAAAATGGGGGACAGTGGGGAGGGAAATGGGGTTCTGGGGAGTGCAGTGAGGAGGAATGGGCAGTGAAGGGGAGAACGGGGGTTCAGTGGGGGACAAGGGGCAGAGAAATGGGGTTCAATAGTAGGAATGTGGGGTTCAGCAGGGGTGCAGTGAGGATGAAAATGGGGTTTAAGGAGGGGAATGTGGGGTGCAGTGAGGTGGAATGGGGGTAAAGGGGGAAGAATGAATGGGTGCAATGGGGAGGGAAACGGGGTGCAATGGAAAGAATGTGGGGTGCCATGGGGGAGAATGGGCAGGGTTCAGTGGGGGGGGGGGGGTTCCACGAGGAGGGGTGCAACGGGGGTATCAATGGGGGGGGTTCCTGGAGGCTGTGCAATTTGGGGTATCAATGGGGGGGTGCAATGGGGGTATCAATGGGGGGTTCATGGAGGCTGTGCAATTTGGGGTATCAATGAGGGGGTTTATGGAGGCTGTGCAATTTGGGGTATCAATGAGGGGGTTTATGGAGGCTGTGCAATTGGGGGTATCAATGCGGGGTGCAATGGGGGTATCAATGGGGGGGTTCCTGGAGGCTGTGCAGTTGGGGGTATCAATGAGGGGGTGTAATGGGGGTATCAATGGGGGGTTCCTGGAGGCTGTGCAGTTGGGGGTATCAATGAGGGGGTGTAATGGGGGTATCAGTGGGGGTTCCTGCAGGCTGTGCAGTTGGGGGGCGCCCTGGGGGGGACACCAGGGTGCTCATTCCCCTCTCTCCCCCGGCCCCCCCAGGCCCCGCACTCCCGCTCGCTCCCGGCGCTGCTCCGGTGACAGCGACTCCTCGACCGCCCCGGCGCAGAGCGGCCCCCGCCGCCCCCCGGCCCGCCGGGACCCCGCGGAGCCCCCGGCCCCGGGCTCGCCCCGCGCCTCCCGCAGCCCCGGGCGCGGCCCCGCGCCGCTGCTGCTCATCCGCCGCCGGCCCGACGGGCAGCACTCGTGGGCACGGCCCGACGGGCAGCACTCGTGGGCACGGCCCGACGGGCAGCACTCGTGGGCACGGCCCGACGGGCAGCACTCGTGGGCACGGCCCGAGTCCCCCGCGGGGAGCCCCGGGGCGCGGCGGGACCCCCGGCCCGGCCCCGGGGACCCCGAGGAGCTGGCGCGGAGGCTGCGGGCACCGCGCTGGCTGGAGCCCGGGCAGGAGCAGCGGCTGTTCCAGCGGCTGGAGGAGGAATTCCTGGCCAACACGCGGCTGCTGGAGCAGCTGGGGGACACCGAGAGCCCCCCCCCCGCGCCCCCCGCCACCGCTGACTCGGCCTATTGCTCCTCCTCATCCTCCTCTTCCTCCCTGAACGTCTTCGCCAAGCACGGGCTGCCCGCCGAGGACGGGCGGCGGGGCGGCGGCAGCGACGGGAACAACGACGGGAACAGCACCGGGAATAACGGCGGGTGCCCCCCGCTGCCGTCCAACCCCACCCTGGCGGATGCGAGGCGCCGCTCCACCTTCTCCAGCTCCTCCGACGAGAGCTGCTGCTTCCCGGCCTCCTGGGACAACCGGGACACCGCGGGGAACGCCGGCTCCGACACCGACTGGGCCACCGGGGACGACGAGCTGCTGGAGACGGAGGAGAGCCCCGGGCCGGGGGTCCCCGCGGCCCCACCGCGGCCCTGGGCCAAGCCCCGGCTGGACACGCAGCCCCACAAGACGCCCTCCCGGATCCCCACGCCCCGGGGGTACGGGGCAGGCGCCCAGCGGGCCCCCAACGGCAGCCCCAGGGCCTGGGGGGCTCTGCAGAGCATCCCCTCCCTCCTGGAGAACCCCTGGGCCCCGCGGGAGCGCCAGGGGCTGGAGGAGAACGCGTGGCCCTGAGGGGTGATGGCCGTGGCAGCTCCTGGCAGCCCCTGGGGACATCCCCGAGCTGCTGGGCAGAGTGGAGGTGGCACCTGAGTGATGGGCACAGAGCTGGGGTGGACAGGACCTCTGCACTTGGTGACTGTTGGCATTGGGGTGGGCCCTGCAAGGAGCCCCCAGCCGGGCCCAGGGGTGCCAGGGTGTCCCCAGGCCCTGGGAGCAGCTCCACAGGAGGGGCCAGCGTGTGCTCCGGGCAGTGGTGGCCAGAGCAGAGCTGGGAATGGGGCTGGAGAACACCCAGTTCTTCTCTTCTTGGGCTCTTCATCTCTCCTCAGTCTTCTCCGCTTGTTTTCTTTATCTTAACCTTCTCTTCTTCTCCTCCTTTTCTTGCTATTCTTGTCATCCTCCTCCTCACCTTCTCTCTCCTCTCTTCTTTTGGGCTGCCTCCTCCTTCTCTTGTCTTCTCTCCTCTTGGCTTTCACATCCTTTTCCCTCATCATCTTCTCCTCTTGACATTCCCCTCTTTTCTTCATGGCCTCATCATCGCTGCCTTGGCCACTTTCACCTCTCCACCCCTGAGATGACTCGGGACGTGCAGTTTGTCACCACAAGCCCTGTTTCAGGGCAGGAGGAGGTCCCCAGCCCCCAGCTGGCCACAGCACGGCTCACAGCTCGTGTTGATGTCCCCAGGGTGGGACAGGGCTGTGCCCCCAGCCCAGGCCCCCACCCCTGCATGTCCTCTCCAGCCAGTAAAGACCACCGGAGCTGAGCCCACCATGTCTGCTCATCTGTGCAGGGGGATTCAGGCCCAAGGGGGGGAGGCTCTGGGGGTCCCAGGAGGGGTGGGAGCAGAGAAGAGCCGGGCTGAGGCTCTTACAGCCACTGGGACCCCTCCAGAGGTGTCCCTGGAGCCCAAAGTGCCCCATGGCCAGGGGACCTTCACCTCAGGGCTGCTGGCCCAGGGGCACACAGCAGCTTGTGGGTCACCAGGAAGGTCCAGACCTGGTCCCTGGACACCAGCTCTGGCAGTGTGGTGCTGGTGGCCCTCGGGGTGTCCCGGAGCAGCACCAGCGATTTGTGGCTTGTCACAGAGCAGGACTCGCTGGTGCTGCTCATCACCCACCCCCAGGGACCAGCAGCAGCTCCTGGGGACCCCACGCTTGTCCCCAACCCCAGAAGGGGCTCAGGGCACCCAGACTGGACACCATGGAGGGTGCAGGGCCACCTTGGCCGTTGTGGATCCCTGGGAGGCTCCAGGAGCAGAGCCAGGAGCTCTCCAGGCCCCATCCTGTCCCCAGGGTGTGACTGGCCCCGTGTCCCAGGCCCGGCCCTGCCCATCTGCTGTGTCAGGCCGTGCTGTGCCAGAGCCCAGAGAGCCACTGGCCCCAGCGAGGGCTCATCTGGCCCTGCAGTGCTGGCAGGAAGCTCCCAGGCCCCTGCTTCCCTCGGGGTCACCGGGCCATGGCCACCCAGCAGTGTCCCCACGGGCTGCTGTCACCTTTAGTCAACATTCCCTTCCAACCAGCGAACATTACAATATATTTATCTTTCATATATTAGAGATTTCCTGCTTCGAGGGAGGGGGGGACCCATGGCTTGATTTTGGGGGAAAAGGAGCAGTGGGACCCCCCCATGGGAGCGCCCAAGGGTGCTGGAGGGGAGCAGAGGGAGCCGTGGGGCTGGGCTGGGGGAGAGGGGATGCTCAGAGCCCTCCTGGCCCCGTGGCAGGGGCTGGAGTGGGCTGGAAAAGCCCTTTTTAAGCTGCACCTTAAGTACAGCCCCAAATGTGGGATCCTCGAGCCCTTGTGGGAGCTCCCATGGGAAGGAGATGCTCTGTGAAGGGCTCACCCACAGGGAGAGCCAAAGCTGTCTCCCACCGGCTCCAGCCCAAATCCCAGGGCTCCAGGGGGCTCTGCAGCCAGAGCCACCTCATCCCACGGCACTCTGGGCCCTCCCCAGCCACTATTCCCAGAGTTTGGAATGCTGAACCCACCAGCAGACAGCATTCCATGAGAACCAGGAGCAGGAGCTGGGGTTTTTGGGAGCCACAGGGTGAAACTGGGGTCTGGAGGAGGACACAGCATCACTCACACACGGATTGCTGCAGGGATGCAGGGACTGGGGGCAGCCCCCTGCCCCCTCTGCTCCCCCCGGGACAGGGAGAACCCCAGGGGCTGGTCCCGGGCAGGAAGGAAAGGGGACATGCACACGGATCCGGCCCTGCTCCCTCGGGCGGGAAAGGGAGGGGAGGAGGAGGAGGAGGAGGAGGAGGAGGAAGAGGAGGAGGGGCTGCAGCAGCACCTCAGTTCTTCAGGATGGTCTCGTAGGCTTGGTAGATGTACTGGGACACCTCTGGTGCTCGGCATTTCAGGGATAACTGTGGGGAGAGAGGGAAGAGCGGGGTCATGGCATCCCACCCCACTGGAGAGCCACCAGCCCCAAAGCAGAGCCCTGCATGCTGCAGCACCCTCCCACGGGGCAGTCCAGCTCCTGATTCCAGCTGGAAAAAGGTTCTTAAACCCCTGCAAGCCCTCCCAGGGCAGAGCCAGCCACATGCAGCACAGGCAGGGAACAGGCAGGGGCAACACTCCAGCTCTTGGGATTGGATTCAGTGCCTGGCACTCCAGGGTGAAGGGTTCCCCAAAAACATCCTCCTCTCCAAAGAGGAACGAGCCCCTTCAGGTGTTTGCTTAAAAATTGTAACATTCCAAAATCAATGAGCTCCTCAAGCAGGGAAAGCTCATGGAGAATCCTCTGGGATAAGGATTTTCAGCCATCCTCATCCCCAGTGAAACCAGGAGGGCGATGGGGACATCCCAACCCTCTGAAATATCCCCCTCCTTGTGCCAGCCCTGCTGGGAAGGAGAGGCAGGAGGCACCAGGAGGCTGGCAGGGCAGGGAAAAACATCGGGGTGGGGGGGGGAATATCCAGGCAGCAGCCAGGGAGAGCCCAAAGCCAGGGAAAAACCAATCTCTAACCTCCAAATCCTGCAAGGGTGGGCAGGCCGGCGAGGGCGGGCGGCGGGGATGGAGACACAGAGAGAGGAGTCAGGGTGACACAGCTCCTCCCTCCCCAGGGGCTGCCAGGGAGGTGGGGAGGGGACAGGGGGAGGGAGCAGGACGTGGGGATGGCTCATGGATGAGGTGTGGATAGATCCCTGCTCAGGGAATGCCCCGAGGACAGCGTTTCACGGTTGGGACCCCTCTGTGTGCTTCAGCTGTCCCCACAGGAGCAGTGCCACCCTCCCCACGAGAGAGGGACAGCGGGGCTGGCACCAGCACCACCAGCAGCTGGGGAGGTCCCACGGCAGGGACGTGCCCCCCAGCCCCGGGGGGGTGGGAGCAGGCAGGGGTGGGATGTACCGTGAAGCTGGGATTGCTGGGCTGGATCCGGAGCTCTGCCAGCACCCAGATGCCGTTGGTGAGCTTCAGGGACTGGTAGAGCATGTCCTGCCCCTCCACGTTCCTCTTGGCAATGGTGAAGATGTTGCTGCCTTGGAGTTTGCTGCTCACGGCATCTGGGATGGGAGGGAGAGGCTGAGGGGCTGGGCTGACCCCCTGCTCCCCTTGGACCTGCTCCTGCCCCATCTCCTGCCCTCCTTGTCATGGAGAAGCTTTCATTGGGTATTAGGGAATTAGGGGAGACTCTTCATGGAAAGGATGGAGTCCCCACCCTGCAGGGATTGAACAGCCACGTGGATGTGGCACCTGGGGACAGGGTTAGTGAAGTGTTACCCAGGCAGGTCCTTCCCAGGGGGTGGGACCCACCTGCGTTGAGGGAACAGTCTTTGATCTGGAACTGGGTCTCGTTCTCGTTGGGAATGTCCTTCCAGGTGGCCAGGAACATCTGCCTCTCTGCAGGGAGGGAGGACACCAGCACTGAGGGAGCTGCCAGACCGGCCACCACCAAAGGTGACACAGCACAGGTGACATGGCAGCCAAGGTATGTCACCCTGCCACCTGCTCCAGCAGGCTCAGGGCGGCCACCTGCTTTTGGGGGCTCACCCAATGCGATCAAGAAGGCTCCAGGGGCTGGGGACAGGTGACAGAGCACACCTTACTGGAGCCATGGTCACCCCACTCACCCATCTTGCCGTCCTCCACGAACAGGATGTGCAGGGGGTACAGGGTGCTGAAGTAGAAGACGTCAATGTTGTTCTTCACTGCCACCTGGGGTGGAAGGACACGGGGATTTCAACACCTCCAACCCACAGGAGGTTCCCAAAATGTCCCATCCCATCTCAGAATGTCCCATCTCATCATGTCCCATCCCATCCCCATCCCCCTGGAGCCAGGTGTCACTGCAGCAAGCACCTGGCTCCTGCTGCCACACCTCCCTCTGGATTTCTCCAGGGGACCCTGCCCTGTCCCCCCAGCTCCCCAGGAGGGGACAGCCCCGTGTTGCCCACCTGGAGGTTGTTGAGGGGCTCCATCTTCATGACAGAGCCCACGGTGTTGAGGGGCAGGGTGATCTCCACGGACTGGTTGGGAGCCAGAGGTGCGTGCACCTGCAGAGGAGCTGCTGGGGCCAGGCCGAAGCTGGGGGACAGCAGGGAGGGCAGGGGGTCAGCGTGGGGACAGCAGGGGATGGCACAAGGCACTGTCCATCCAAGCCTGGCGCTCCCTGCCTTCCTCCAAGGGCACCCCAGGAATCGCCTCGCTGCCCCTGCACCGTCCAGGACGGGGCTGGTTCCTGCCCTGCCCACCCTGGGGTGCCCCCAAATCTCCCTCCTTCCTCCTCCACCCATGTGTATCATTCCTGCAGCATTCCCTCAGTGCCTCTGAGGGAAAAGGAAGCATCAGTTCCCCAGGACAACCAAGAGAACAGAGCCTGAGGAACAGCCTCTTCAGCCAACTTCTTAGAGGCTTTGGTTTGGTGCTCATCACCACCACAGCCATCAGAGAGAGAAGGGTCATCACCAGAGGCTGTTCCCAGCCTTGCAGCTCCTTCCTCACAGCCTTTTCCACACAAACCTGCTCTGGGCAGCCTCCCCAGGGGTCCCAGGTCTCACAGGGACTCACCTGTTGCGGTTGAACTGGATGGCAAAGTCAGACATGACCTGCAGGGCTTTGTTGGTCAGCACGAGGTCCATGGAGATGGAGCCCACCTGGCGGCTGAAGGTGCCAGAGATCTCCAGCCCCTTGGCTTTCATGGCAGGGAGCCACACCTGGGCCAGCAGACAAGAAACCCTTGGGGTGTCACCCAGAGCAAAGCCTCTGCTGCTCCCCACCTCCCCCCAGGGGGGCTCTGCTGTGGGGGGTTACACGGGGGTCTGTGCCCCCCTTAACCCCGAGCCTGGATGCCCCACTCACCGTTTTGGGGGCCACGTAGGATCCTGAGAGGGTTCCCACCCCACCGGTGAGGTCAAAGAGGTCACCCAGGCCGCTGCCAAGGGGGGCCCCCACGTTTGTGGGCGCCGTGGTGCTGGGAGCTGGTGTGAAGCTGCCACCGCTGCCACCCATCTGTGGGGACAAGGGAGGGGTTACGGGGGCACCACGGGGAGGGGACAGGAGGAGGAAGAGGAGGAAGAGGAGGAGGATGCAGAGAATGAGAGGGTTTGGGTGTGAGGGCACACTCACAGCAGGACTGCCTCCCACATCGCTGCGCAGCTGCAAAAGAAGAAAGGGGCATCAGCAGGGGCAGGGCTGAGGGCAGGGGACAGGGCTCCCCAGAATGTCCCCTCTGGAAGCAGCAGTGTGGGGCAGCAAGGGTCTGGAGTCGGGATGCTCCAGTGGTCCCAGATCAGGAGATGTGAGGGGCCATGGCTG